CCACGCCAAAGATGCTAACCCAGAGACACAACGAATGATCTAGTTACATCATTCACGGATGCAATCCCTGTCTACGAGTCTCACCGACACAAACCCTTCAGAGAGGAAAGTGGTCTGTTCTAGTGTTAAAAATGACAAAATGAAAACAACTTGATTAAAAGCAAATTAGAGAGGAGGCGATCACAGGCATGTGAGGAAGGATTCTCACAAGTGAAACAGGGTGTCGTGCTTGGAAAGGTATTTTGAAGCCCTGACACCAAGCATGAATTCCACAGCTGTCAACGTTAAAGACAGACAAAAACAAAAACTTTCTTCATTGTGGGTAAAGGCTGGTGCCTGTGACCCCCCCTGCCATTTCCCCTTGTCACCTCCACCTCAAAAGCTGGGGTGGCAGTGGGCTCCCCGGGGTGTGCAGGGAGGTCCCGGGGGGGGTCTGCCTACAGGGTCCAAGGTGGCACGGCTGGGGACCACGGGGGAACCGCTCGCCAAGCCTACTGCTCTTCCGTCTTGTCCATGTTACAGAAAGCTAAGGGGCTCGGGGTACATCCGGGGCCCGTGGGGGCCTGGGGGCGCTCTGCACGGCCGTCTCGGCTTTCCGCAGCTCCAGGCAGAGGCAGGTCAGCCGCCACAGAGGGTAGACCCTCTGTCTACCTCCTGCTCATAGGTCCTCCCGGTAAAGCCGCCTCCAGGCCCACCGGGCTTCACGGCAATAGCGCACTGGGGCTCAGCGAGGACCGCATTTCAGAAAGCTGTATGGTAGGGGTCTTTGCCCGTTTCAGCCTGATGGCACAGTTCCAACGACACAGACGTAACTGCTCTGGGCTTGTGACTTTTTTAAAAACACTTTTTTAATGTTTACTTATTTTTAAGAGAGTGGCAGGAGGTGAGTGGGTCAGAGGGCTGAGAGAGGAGACCCAGAATCCGAGGCTCAGGCTCTAGTTGTCGGGCATAGAGCCGACAGGCTGAACTGTCTAGCAGAGACTGACCTGAGCTGAAGTCGGTCACTCAAGGGACTGAGCTCCCCAGTCAGCCTGCAATGACGGCATCCTGAGCAGTTTAAAGAGGACCCTACCAGACACAGTTAGAACTCACAGCTAGGGGACTTCTGTTTCAAACACTTACCTTTCTTTTTCTCTGTCCTGGGCACAGAGGTCACATGGTGTCACCATGGAGCTCAATTTTCCTTCTTGCCTTGACATCCTCTACTCTCACCACCAGCACTGTCTGAGTTTCCTGCACCTGGTGACAAGTACGGGGAGAGCTCGGTGGCCGGGTGTGACCCTACTGTCTCAAGTCTGCTCATAATCCACCGTTTTGCTGCTAAACACGGAGTCTGAGCTCTGAGCGGCCGCTTCTCACCCAGCTGTCGGAAGTCTGAGCAAGAGCCTGATGAAGCAGCTCCTCCCCCAACCTCTGGGCCCCGAGGGACAGGGACAGGCGTAGGGCATCAGAAGGGAGGCAGCAGTAAAGTGCGGTGGAGGGCAGCAGGGCGGGGGTGGGGGGACGGGGTCCAGCCTGGGGCTGCTCGCCGCTGTTCTTTCTTTCCAGCAAGCGGGAGAATTCAAACAACCTGTTAAAAGACAGTGCTGAGTTTCTGAAACACACACACTGTGCCCTCGAGACAGGCGGAAACTACGAAATTGCTCGAGATGTGGGAGAAATGTACAAAGCCGCCGTTACTGTTCCTTTCTTGGGTGAAAATTGAAAAAACGAAACACAGCACTTCATGATTTTTACTCATGATTCATTACATATCTTGCAATGAATATTCTGAGTGGGTAAAAATTATGCCCAATATTTAAATAAAATATACTAAGGCTCATTCATAAAAGTTACTTATTTGCATTGTTATAGCCTCCTCTGTAAAGCACATCTTAATGACTTGCTTTGCTTATATACTGCAAGCTAAAATGAATGAATGAATCAAAACTTACATTTATGCTGGTTACACCACAAAACGAGAAGAAAAATTAGTAAGCATTCAGCATATCGTTGTGGATGAATGTTAACACGCTTTAGCTGAAATGTACGTATGATTTATGTCTACTTCATAACTTAAATTAGCTGCTTAATGATGCATGGCTACTATCCTCTCTTTATCTGTATCCCCATGCAGTTTAATTTCAGGCGGGATCAGAAGCAGGCTCTCTTGTCTGCACATCGTTGGGAAAGTATGTCCTCAAAACTGAGGCTGAGGATGACAGGGACTCCACACCTGGCCCTGAAATCTCACTCCTCATTATGCAGATAGCTCGGACCAGCTCCACCTACGTCTCTCTTCAGAGACGGTGAAGAGGGGTGGAGTCTCCAGGACTCCAGGACGGTGTCACAGAAGAGGGCACACAGGTGGGGGCCGAGCATTCAGAGGAAAGGCTGGACGTAGTGAGGGGCTGAAGGCTGTCACCGGCCAGCACAGGAAATACCTGCCTTCTCGTCTCTTACGCATTCTTCAACACCCGTGGTAAGTCCAGAAGCGGCTGATGTACGAACAGTCCTTCTGAATCTACAATTCTGGACCTCAAGGGGAACAGAAATCGAAGCATTTGTGAAGCTGTGTGCTTTGGGGTAGCTGGTAGTTCAGAGCCACTGGGAGACGGGCCTGTGAACTCAGAGCTGAGTTTTGTCAGCTGAGGACGAGACACCCATCAACGCCAGCTGCCAACCCCCTGGGCTGGCCGAGGGTGCAGCCTTCTGGCCCATGGCAGGACCACGCAGCAGGGGTAGGGCTGTGGCCAGGCGGGTGGGGAGAAATACTGTTTACGCTAAAGGGAACACAGCTGTTCCTCGTGACAAGTGTGAGAATACCCTATCTTCTCTTGATTTACTGGGCAGAAATATCCCCAAACATCCCCCCTGGATACTGCCCCGAACCTCTCTGTTGGGCACCTTTCCATCAGAGTGGTTAAGAAGCGGCCACAGATGGGGCACCTGAGTGGGTCAGTTGGGTGAGCGTTGGATTTCAGCTCAGGTCATGATCTCGGCGGTCAGTGGGTTCGAGACCCACATCGGGCTCTGTACTGACAGCTCGGAACCTGGAGCTTGTTTCGGATTCTGTGTCTCCTCCTCTCTCTGCTCCTCCCCTGCTTGCATTGTCTCTCTCTGTCGCTCAGTAATAAATAAACATTAAAAAAAAAAATTAAAAAAAAAAGAAGTGGCCACAGAGACTCACTCCTTTCTAGGGTGGAAGCTTGCTCATCACCTTCCAGGGAAGGGAGGGACCTCAAATGGCTGGAAAGTGTAGACGAGAAAGGACACGATTAATTTACAAGCCAGAGAAGTGTGCCCTGAGCTACCAGAGAAGGCTGCACCCTCCAAAGGGCGTGGTCTGAATTTCCAGAATTTCCAGCGCACGAGGGGGGATGTGGGGCTCACCCACAGCTGGACTGCGCCAACCAGCCACTGGGGCTTCCGGAGCTGGAGCGTGGGGAGAGAGTCAGGGAGGGTCCGGCCGGGACCTAAGGCAGACGTGAGCCGCGAGCAGTGGCAGGACCGACGGGGAGCCCGGCACCCCCTGTCCCACCTCCTCTGCCTGTGATAACACCAGGCAGCTGGGGCGTCCTCGAGAAGGCTCCACTCACGGCGGCTCCTGGCTCTCGTCTGTGCCCCACCAGACCCGACGGGCCATTGGCTGGGAAGAAGTTCAGGACGGGGCCCTGCTGTCCCCTTCCTGACCCCGAGTCTACGCAACTCCCCACCCTGTGGGGAGTAAACACGATGAAGGAGAAAGCCCCGAGAACGCAAAAGGCTTGCTCCTTCTGTCCCTTCCACAGAAACAGTGTTTCTGTTTTAAGGAAAAACAACACAGACAGAAGCTGAGAAATGTGTTTTTCCTTCTAGTCTCAGTTCATCTATTTACCTACCTCTAATATTAACCAAGTAAGAAGTTGACTTAATTTTTTGAAAACTCTATGGCACCCCTATCTTCGTTATTCGTCGGGCCTTTGTCCTCCCTTGTCCGGTTACGATTTTATATTTCCTACCTCCAATCAGGCTCTGGGTTCCCTGAGAACCAGAACTTTTCTTTGTCATTCCTGTTACATCCCACAAGTGCTGACCAGGTGATCTTTCGAAAGGTGGCGGTAAGATATGGTGTCTACTGACGAATTAAGAACAGAATACAAAAAATAGCCAAAACGCAGTAATTACTGGACAGAAGCCCCCGCTCTGAGCAGCCTACATAAATGGCTTTGCCCGATCTTCGCGACGCCCTACAATCACCGCTGCTGTCCTGGAAAGGGTGCTGGGACAGAGGCACTGCAGGAAGTGCAGGGCAGGACCTACAGGAAGTCTGACTGCAGAGCCCTGCCCTCAGTAACTACGTCTGCGGCCTCTTGCAAGTCCTCCCGAAGCTGGTTTACATTTCACAGGAATATCTGCGGGGTTTCAACACATCTCTGAGGCTCTCTGCCCAGAAGCATTCACTCCACCTGAGCTGCTCGTGCCCTGGAAGCTTCTGTCACCTGCACTCTCCCTCCTGCAATCCCTACTTCCTGCCTCCTGACAGCTGCTCCGTGCTGCAGCCCAGGTTTTCCAGATGATGGCGGGGCTCCCTGGGGCTCCCAGGGGACTGCAACCAGACTTTTAAGTAAATTAAATCAGGACAGAACTAGGAGAAAATGGCACAGAGTAAGTACTGTTGCAAGGGGGTTTTGTTTTGTTTCTATGCGTATGTTTGCAGTAAGTCACGATGTACGACTATCTTTTACTCCGGAGCACAGTCAGAAAGTCTGAAAAAACCCACCACCGGTGCCTACACCCAATCTCACTGCTGTCCTGTAGCAGGTGCCTCAGATGGCTGCGCCGGCCGCTATGTCCGCGGAAGTGCATTTAGAAAACCCAGCGAGGTCATTCGGTAAGTCAGGGCTCGCTGCTGGGTTACTTACTTGAGGTTTCCAGCCTGGATACGGAAGGAAAAGGGAGGACACTTCCGTGCAAAGCAAAGCAAAGCAAAGCAAAGCAAACGCACGCAAAGGCACGGACGGGGAGCACCAGTGCCTTACCCCTCCGGCCCGGGTACACTTGAGGGTAGTACTCGTAATAGAGATCTGGCTGATCCAGGTTTCCAAAGGGCTCGAACTCCATTTCGGCGTTCTGGAAGAGGCCCAGCTTCACCAGTAGCGCCAGCCTCACAAACCAAAGCTGAAACACAAAACATAAGGGAAACGACAGGTTGCCTACGTGGGTCAAGTTCAGAAATCCCTGTTTACTACGAATTTGGTAGCAGAGCTTGATTTCCAGTGCATCCGAACAAAGGCCAAACTTTGTTTTTTTGCACATTTGCCTAACCGCGCATTTCTGAGAAGACTCCTGAGCTTGGTAAGAACAACACGAGTGATTTCGTCTAATCGTCTCAGTCGGACAATCCTGTCGGGCAGGAGGAGGAGTCCAGTGGGCGCGGGCGTGAAGGGAGGGCAGCTGTGGACAGAACCCTGTCTGGGGAGGGCACTGAAGGGCACGGAGTCAGGAGGGGCGCGTGTCAGAGAGGGCCGTGCGACGAGGGTGAGCGGTCAGCTCCGAGGGGCCGGAGGCCCTGGGCGCAGAGGCACGGTGGGAAATCAGCTCACGTCCGCGCCATCGGGCCAGGAAGGCCAGAGTCGGCCGTACTGACGTGCAATCTGGGCTACGAAAGCCCATCTTCGTCTCAGGGTTTTCTCAGTGGCACGGAAGGTCGGGCGCCTTCTGTGTCCCCACGTTTCGACCACCCAAAGGGGCCGTACCTGCAGCGAGTCTGCTGTGTGGCTGGTGGGCAGCCCGCTCTTGCCGTAGCCTTGGCCGTGGGCGGTGAGAAGGCGCCCGCACAGGTCGACCGCCGCCCTCCAGTTCCTGCAGCTCTGGAAGACACAGGGGATACGTGACCAAATCGCAGCCACTCGGACACACGGCACCTGCTGGGCTCGGGGCGGCTCCCGCCACCGCGGGCGAGGACAGTGAGGCCGGACGGCGGCAGGGACTGAGCGCAACGCCACTTGTCACCGCTGCGTGTGTAATTAGGCCAGAAGGACACCAAGCAAGAGATGAGCAAACCCTACAAATGTTAACACTGAACAACCGGCAGAACACGGGGAGGAGAACTCTTGTTGGAAAGCCCCCCCCCCCCCAAATCTAGAACACTGCTTTCCGTTTTCATCCAGATAACTTCATTTTGTAACTTCCACAAATTTAAAGTTAGTAACTTAATTTTATGCTATGTGCCGGATACATTTATCTGTATCGGGAAGATCTGCGTGTGTCTACAAAACGAGTGGCTTCATATGCTAAATGTTTAATTCTATTTTACCAAGACGAAAAAAGATGGCTGATAGGGACGTGCCAGCCGATCAACCTGGACTTACTGTGTTTGTCTTTTGACCCCGAGGCAATGAAGACAGGAGGGCCAGCAGGCAAATGCAGGGGAACATGTTATCAGAGAGAATGTTCTGGCGTTTTAAGAAGCAAAAAGCGGACGCTCACTCCTATCTACGTATCTCCTCAGCGCAACAGGCGCCAACCAGCTTTGGACACAGCAGACGCACCCGGTCACGTGTGTGGCCGACAGACGTACAGACCAGGTCAGGCCCTGTGGGCAAAGAGCTGGCTGAGTGCACAGCCTTCCGTGCGTTCACCTCAGGATCCAGCGAGGAAGGCGGATACGAAACAAAGTGTTTTTCCGATGATCACTCAAGTGATTCTGCACGTACCCCAAGTGCTCTCTGAAGCAGGTGCCACGGTGCACGTCACCAGTGGCCGGACTTAATGTCAGGGAACGGAAAGCTGCTGGAGCCAGATGTGAAGGAGGAACAGCGGGGTCCGGCAGGGGTAGGACCCTCCAGGCGAGGGGGAGACCGGTCGATCCCGGGATCCCGACGGCAGGCACACAGGCAGTGAGAGTGCAGGTGTGGGCAAGAATGGGATGTCAGCAAGGAAGGCCTCAGGCCACGAGAGATCCAGATGCATCCTGAGGGGCTGGGGAGCCTCGGAAGGGCTCCGAGCAAGGGAATGGCACGATGCTGTTTAACGCACAGATACCGGAGCAGTCCCCCACCTCTCCAGGTACTGAGGCACGCACTGCCTCTGTGGGCACCCCACCCCTCCCAGGTGGAACCCCAAGTGGGGGTGAGGACCCAGAGAGCACGGGTCCGGCTGCTGATTCCGGACTCTCCTGACAGCAGCCCTGAGGGCCCCTCAGGTGGAAGTCTGGGCCGACGGGGGTGCTCCGACTGCTGGGGGAGAATCACAAGTGCGGCTGTATATTCTGGACTTGCAAATGGGAAAGCTATTCGGCCAAGTCCAAATCAGTTCTGTGTCCATTCTAAGCAGATCCTGTATGCAGGGGCAATTAATTATTGCTCTCTTCCCAACTGCCTCTGTCACGCAGGCTGGCCTCTCCTGCTGGTGGCGTCAGATCTGAACTGAGTGCTCAGGGCAGTCCTCCCGGGAAATGACTTCAGCTGGCCTCCCAGGAAATGACCCCAGTGAGGAGGGCAGGAGGGGAGCTCCAGTGGGCCAAGGCCTGGTGTGAGTGGGGGCTGCGGGGATACGAGCGACGGCAGGGAGGAGGCCGTTGCGGTCTGAGAGGTGCGGTAGGTTAAGAGGGGGCCTGGCAGGGGAGGATGAGGGGCAGGCAGGGGTGGGCAGGGCAGGTGTGGTCAAGGGGCAGGTAAGGCCAGGCCAGCCTCCGGAGGCTTCCAAGGGCACCGGCAACACGTCAGGCTCACGTTCCAGAAACATCAGCCCCTGTGAGGATGACGCATGAACCTGAGGGGCGAAGCAGGTGTCGGTGAAGCCGGTGTCCAGGCCTGATGCTGGCGACCTGTGTATGGTCCACAGGCCCTATCCACGCGGTGCACGGTCTGGACACAGTTCTGGGACCCAGCCTCCTGCACGTGGTCCGTGTTGTCTAAGGCTGGTTCTGGGCTCCCACGATGGAGGTGCGGTCACAGCAGAGCTGAGTGGCTGCCCCAGAGACTGAGGGGCCCCCCGAGCCTAAGATACTCCCAGGTGCCACCCAGGCCTGGCCACTGCCACTTCCAGGGAGACCGTGGACCACGTCCCCCTTATGACTGGTCCCGAGCGAGAAAGGCGGAGGAACAGAAACTTCTAGAGCCACTCGACAGAGTACTTATTGTCACGCACAGTGACAAAAGGGG